CCTACTTAACAAACGTTAGTAGAGCCGTATTTTAATATTACTACAGACAGCAGGGCTCGCTACCGCGCATTTTCTTTCGCGATTCGTCAGCAGCCGGGGCTGTATAGATTGCCAACCAACGAAACATGATTCCTACCACATCTACGAGACGAACTGCAAGGACCTCTTGTTAATGTTGTCTTTATGGAATTTCCAGTGAGTTTAAATGTCAGCCACCTTTGATGAAGACCGGCTGGCCGTGTGTGACGGGCTGGTTCGCGTTGTCCATAACTGCGGCTATCTCCGGTATTCTTGACCTGGCTTTACCATCTGCTCAAGGTTTGTGCAAGAACAAAGGGTGCGGGAAATACTGCGCAAGTCTGCCTCCCTCACGCGCAGACTACCGGCGCAGGCAGTAGACGCCACCGCTTGCGATGATCCAACTGCCGTACGGAATGTATGCGATGTTTCGAAGACAGAAGCCTTCAACTGTGCTACTCTGTGACACTTTGTGTCTGAATTTGTAGACCTACACGGACAATTTAGGCAGGGAAGTCCTGTAAACCCGAACATCGGTGACGTCCAAGGCGGCTTCCGAGGTTTGCTTCTTCGAAGGAGAAGCATCCGCTCAGGATACTCAACACCTCGAGTCGAGGAAACTCGATGTGCAGACACGTTACAGAAGTGTTCTTAAAGTCACATGGCATGTCAACAAAGTAAGCAGGATCGTTTAAACTGCGGACGACCCTTGACGTTGCGGAGACAGAAGGGTGACATTGCCGGCGTAGTCGATGACAGTAGACACTTCAAGAGTCTCGAAACCCCGAAACGCTTGATCTAATACTTGCTTACCATTCTGGCAGCACAGGTACTAACTAAAAGCTCTCACACACGTATTTCACCGATATTATACCATTGCTTGACATAGCTACGAGAGGTCCAGCTCATCAGTGGGTCTCCCAGCTTTCCTGGTTGCTTTTCGGGCAATCTACCGGTTTTGAAAGTTCAACTTTTTAATTCCTTTAGAAATAAGTTTCCGTTATCGGTAGACATTAGTATATTCAAAATCTGCAGGCAGGATCTTTTCAAATGCGAACGACCTTTGGTGACAAGGAGACCCTATACTAGAATCGTAATCGACGAGAGTAAGCCCTGTGACACCTCAGAATTATCGAAACCCCAAAACGCTCGATTGAATATTTCCTACGGTGGCATAGTTCTGGTGCTAGCTGGCTCGAGGAAACATCTTCACCAATAAGGATGAGTCACGTGGGAAGACTGCGTAGGATCAAGGCAAGCGTCATGGCTATAAATCGCCTCTACTAGTTGTAGGGCTGAATCAAAGCTACTAGCGAGCTGTAGTCAATGAGGCAAACTGCAATCAGTTGCCGCTGACAACTAGAGTAGCCATTAAAGAGCGCTCGCCGGTAGTCACTAAATTAGCCTATAATTGCCAAAAAAGTCAGTTGCAAAAATAAAATTTTATGTGAATTACAGTATTTACAATTCGGTGCTGGGAAAAAAGGGCCATCTTTTTGCCAGATAATTACGTTGCCAACATGCATACATCATCAAAGGGCACCACAATTTCCTTTCCCGAGGACAGGAGGTAGATGCGAGCCGTAGATGTCTTGTCGATGCGGTCAACCAATTTGCCCATCTACACAGGAGCAGAAGGGGTTAGTAATAAAGGTGCGAGGTTACCTCTTCTGCATACTGGCCGCGTACAATCATTGTCCGTTCCCCTCGGTGACGAGGAACAACTGTCTGGATGTCACGAATCCTAACATCTGTGGGGAAGGAGAGGGTGAATGTGGCAAAGAGCATCACCTACCTTTTAAGTGTCGGCCGGACTCGGTTTCACAGGAACACCGATCAGAGGAGGGGGAGACTGAGAGGACAGTGACCTACAGAAAGAAGAAATTTAGTCGAACGGGAAGGGCCAGCCCACCTTCTGCATATAGTACTTGCCATTATGACTGTGTTTGTCCAAATAGCGTACAAGGAGGCCTTTGCGTGCCCAGTTCGAGCTCCCGTTTTCGGCG